ATTTTTTTCTTGATATGTTTTTGTCTTAGCAAAGGTTTTTTACAACAACCGTAAATAATAACTTCTGTTTCCTTTTGGTTAAATTTGCCTTTGAGTAGATTCCAACTCATAGTCAAAGCATATGACAGAGTAAAAGACTCGGATGAGATAAAATGAGGTGCTTTAGCCATGTCATCAGGAGGGTTCAGTCCCTGGAAGAGGACATCATGTTTGGTAAAGTAGAGGGGCAGGTATAACTATTGTGAAGATGGCACACAACCAGTCAGTGTTGGTCTTTTGTAACCAGGTTGCTATGTTGGTGGCACCTAACAAGAACATCAATAATAATTTCTCACTAAGGTAGCAATACTTTTAACCTACACTTAAATTTATTTGTAGCTTCTTTGAGATTTTTACCTAGGCAGTCATATAATTTGAAAATAATTGTTTTTGTTATAGTAGTTGTTGATAGGTGCCATCCAGATGATTCTGACAATCATGACCTTATGCACAACAGAACAAAACACTGCCCAGTCCTGCACCCTCCTCACGATTGTTCTTAAGCTTAAGCCCATCATTGCAGTCTCTGTCAATCCAGCTCCTTGAGGGCCATCCCCTCTTCACTGTCCCTCTACTGAGCATGATGTCTTCTCCAGGGACTGGTCTCTCCTGACAACATATCCAAAGTACGTAAGACAAAGTCTTGCCATCTTTGCCTTTAAGGAGCACTCTGACAATACTTCTTCCAAGTCAGACAGACTGATCTGTCCTTTTAGCAGTCCATGGTGCGTTCAGTATTCTTCGCTGGCACCACAATTCAAATGCATCGGTTCTTCTACAGCTTTCCTTATTCAGTGTCCAGCTTTCACACACAAAGGAGGCAATTGAAAATACCATGGCTGAGTCAGGCATATCTTAGTTCTCAAAGGCATAGCCTTTGTTTCCAATACTCCAAAGAGGTCTTGGGGCAGCAGATTTACCTACTGTGATGTGTCTTTTGATCTCTTGAGGACTGCTTCCATGAGCATTGATTGTGAATCCAAGTGAGACACAAGCTTTGATCATTTCAACCTTTTCTCCTGATGTCACCTATTGGTCCAGTTGTGAGGATTTGTGTGTGTCTTCTTTACATTGAGTTGTACTGAAGACTACAGTCTTTCAACTTTATCAGCAAGTGTTTCAGTCCTTCTTACTTTCAGCAAGCAAGGTTGTATCATGTACAGATCACAGGTTGTTAATCGCCTTCCTCCAATGAAGATGCCGCATTCTTCTTCCTATAATCTAGCTTCTGTGATGATTTGCACCGCATACTGATTGAATAAGTATGGTGAGAGGATACAACCCTGACACACACCTTTGCTGATTTAAAATCATGCAGCATTCCCTTGTATTGTTCAAACAACTGCCTCTTGATTTCATGTACAAGTTCCGAATGAGCACAATGAAGTATTCTGGAATTGCCATTCTTCTCTAGGCTATCTGTAATTGGTTATGATCTACACAGCCAAATGCCTTAATGTATAGTCAAATAAAACACAAGTTAGCATCTTTCTGGAATTCTCTGCTTTCAGCCAAGATCCATATGACATTCGCAATGATACTTCTTGTTCCACATAATCTTGAGTCCAGCCTGAAACTCTTTCCGCTCACTGTCAATGTACTGCTGCAACTGCTGTTGAATGGCCTGCAGCAGCGTTTTGCTTGAATGCGATATAAATGATGCTGTTCTGTAATATGAGCATTCTGTTGTGTCACCTTTTTTGGAATGGGTACAGTATGTACCTCCTCCAGTCAGTTGACCAATTAGCTATCTTCCAAATTTCCTTGCATAGACAAGTGCCTCCAGTACTTCATCAGCTTGTTGAAGCATTTCAATTGGTATTCCCTCAATTTTTCGAGTGTTGTTTTGAATGATGATTTCAGGGCAGCTTGAACTTCTTCCATCAGCACCATTGGTTCTTGCTCATATGCTACCTCCTGAAATGGTGGAATGTCAACTAGTTCTTTTTGATACAGTGACTTTGTATATTCTTTCATTCATTCTATGTTTCCTGCATCATTCAGTATTTGACCCATAGAATCTTTTAGTATTACAACTAAAGCCTTGAATTTTTTTCCTGAGTTCTTTCAGTTTAAGATATGCTAAGCCACAACCACTGAAGACAAAGCGGGTGAATAAGCAAATGTGGTGAAGAAAGCTGATGGTGCCCGGATATCAAAAGATATAGCGTCTGGGGTCTTAAAAGCTTGAAGGTAAACAAGCGGCCATCTAGCTCAGAAGCAACAAAGCCCACATGGAACAACATATCAACCTGTGTGATCACGGGGTGTCGAACTGATCACTGAAGACAAATGGGTGCATAAGCAAATGTGGCGAAGAAAGCTGATGGTGCCCGGCTATCAAAAAGTATAGCGTTTGGGGTCTTAAAGGCTTGAAGGTAATCAAGCGGCCATCTAGCTCAGAAGCAACAAAGCCCACATGGAAGAAGCATACCAGCCTATGCAACCACGAGGTGTCGAAGGGATCAGGTGTAAGGCATCATCAGAACAAAAAATCTTACCATAGTGAATGATGGGGGGAGTGCAGAGTGGAGATCCAAAGCACATTAGTAGGCCACTGGAGATCCCCTTGCAGAGGAGTCTCTGGGAGGAGATGAGCCAGTCAGGGTGCGATGTAACAATGATGAGAAATACAACCTTCCTCTAGTTCCTAAAGGTTTCCTCCCCGCTCCCACTACCATGACTCGAATTCTATCTTGCAAGACTGGCTAGACCAGAGGAGGTACACTGGTACAGATAGGAACTGAAAATACAGGGAATCCAGGATGGATGAGCCCTATAGGACCAGTGGTGTGAGTGGCAAAACAGGGAGGGTAAAGGGAGAATGGGTAGGAAAGAGGGAACCGATTACATGGAACTGTGTGTGACCTCCTCCCTGGGGGACAGACAACCGAAAAGTGGGTGAAGGGAGACGTCGGACAGGGCAAGATATGACAAAATACCCATTTATAAACTATCAAGGGCTCACGAGGGAGGGGGGAGCGGGGAGGGAGGGGAAAAATGAGGACCTAATGTCGGGGGTTTAAATGGAGAGAAAATGTTTTGAGAAACGATGTACAAATGCGCTTTACACAATTGATGTGTGTATGGATTGGGATAACAGTTGTATGAGCCCCTAATAAAATGTTAAAAAAATTAAAAAAAAAAAAAGATATGCTAAGCATGTTCTTCTCGATTTTCTAACTCTAGATCTTTGCACATTTCATTTTAATATGTGGCTTTGTCTTCCGGAGCTTTCCTTTGAAATTTTCTGTTCAGCTTTTTTACTTATTTCTTCTGTTTGCTTTAGCTACTTGATGGTTCAGAGCAAGTTTCAGAATTTCGTCTTACATACACTTGGATCTTTTCTTCTTTTTCTGTCTTTTTAATGACCTTTCTTTTCTGTCTTTTGCGTTCTTCATAAATTATTTCTTGAGGTCCTCCCACAGCTTATCAGGTCACCTGTCACTAGTGTCCAGTGCATCCAATCTTGAGATGTTCTCAGAGTTCATGTGCGATACACTCAAGATAATCTTTTGGCTCTTATGGACTTGTTTTCATTTTCTTCAGCCCAAAGCTGAACTTATGCACCAGAGATGGTCTATTCCACCGTCAGGCCCTGGCCTGGCTTTAGCTGGTGATACTGAGCTTCTCCATTGTCTCTTCCCCAGATGGAACTCAAATTCAGTCAATTTGCAAAATTCTATCATGCGCTCTCCAGCTTCACTCCTATTCCCAAGACCATATGTCCCAACTGCTTCTCTTACCTCATTGTTCCCAACTTCTGCATTCCAAATAATCATCTATGCATCTTAATTGTGCATTTGATCAAATTTCAAATTCTTTATCACTAGTTTTTGTGGTTGGTGCATACTGTAATGTGAATAATAGTTATATTTATTGGATTTCCGTGAAGGGGGGGGAGGATAGATAAAATCCTGTCGATATTGTACTTCAGGATTGATTTTACATTGTCCTTTTTGACAATGCAACGTCATTCCTGTTGATTGTGTCATTCCCTGCACAGTGAAGCATATGATTTTCTGATCCAAAATGGCCAATACCATTCATTGCACACGGCTTTTAGTGACTACTTCCTCTGAAGTGGGCAACCAATTCCTTCATTGTCTGTTGTTAGTCTAGAAGCTCTGCTGAAACCTGTTCCCTTTGGGTGAACCTGCTGACATTTGAAATACCAGTGACTTAGCTGTGCTTGCTTCAGCGGCACATATACTGAAATGCCAGTGACTTAGCTACCAGCACCATAGCAACACACAAGCCACTCCAATACAACAAGTTGACAAGTGGTGGAATTCAGTGATAGTCATTTCAAATTTCTTTCCATTCAAATTTCTTAAAATCTATTAAATGGTGATGTGTGGATCAATAAGCAATTACGTACATAAAAAATAATGCTTGCCAGGAGGGTGGAGGGAACATTAGGGAGAAAGGGGAACCGATTACAAGGATCTACATACAACCTCCTCCCTGGGGGACGGACAGTGGAGAAGTGGGTGAGACGTCAGATGGTGTAAGATATGACAAAATAATAACTTATAAATTATCAAGGGTTCATGGAGGAGAGGGGATAGGGGAGCAGGGAGAGGGGGAAATGAGCTGATACCAAGGGCTCAAGTAGAAAGCAAATGTTTTGAGAATGATGAGGGAAACGTACAAAAGTGCTTGACACAGTAGATGTATGTGTGAATTGTGGTAAGAGTTGTATGAGCCCCCAATAAAATGATTTAATTATTAAAAAAACAATAATGTTTGCTATTTAAAACCACCCTGTTGGGAATTTGCTTACCTTCGTTCTGCATTTGTCTGATTTATAAGCTTCTTCTCAAGATGGTGCATTTGTTCTCTGATGTCAACAGATGTAGTATATTCTCTTCCTGTATCTTTCTACAGCATTATTGGAAATCATCATGAAAAATGGAAGCACGGCTGGAAATGGCCCTCATCACCGAAGACCATCAGGATGCGGTGTTCAGAACAAGACTAATTGCACAAAGGACAGCACATCTGCTAGTGGTGAAAGTCCAAAAGGCTACACCAGAGACCAAGTAGATGGAGTTCTCAGGTAAGAATAAGTATGATTTCCACGTTAGCTATGCTTGATGCTAATGTTTTTATGTGGAAAGGCTTGAAATGTTTGAATTAAAATTTAATAGAAGAACAAACATTGGGGAACTGAACTCTGTTCGTCTCCAGTTTCATGTTCTTTGTGGGATCAGTCAGTAATTGACCAGCTCAGCTTTAGTCCTTGAAGCAACTATACAGTGACACAAAGCTACTTCGAAATACTTTTGGAAAAGGACAATTATTTCGAGTTTTTGCTACAGTACACTACTGAGATTGGGATATTAAAAAGAGGTGAAGAGGGGGTTATGTCTTATGTAGAAATACAAACGGGAAAATTAGATATAAGAAGAAAGTTGAGGTTAGTAACAACACCATTTTTCATTGTTCATGTATATTAATGATGAGTGGTTGCTGTTTTCTATTCATGTTCTTTCTTCAAGGCTATTTTTGAGTGTATAGGTGCAAAAACCGAAACGTTCGCTCCCTTTTTTATCTTATTCTTATTATCCTGCCTCACTTTTTTACTTTTACCTCATTATGCACTTCTGTATACAACAGAAAATTAGGTGGCATAAGAATTATAAACTGAGTTTGGAGATCTGCCGTGTGTGTGTGTGTGTGTGTGTGTGTAACATTTCTGTAAGTAAAACATTGACTAAACAACTCTAGGGGGGACGGGGAACCTTTTGTTTCCTGCTATGTAAGGAAAATGTGGCCTCTTTTTACTGCCCTAGGAAAACCAAAGTGTAAGGATGAAGAATTCTGAACAAGGATTGCTCAGATACTTCTCGAGGCAGACTTACAGTAAAATGACTAGCTCAAGTAGTCAGGGATTCAGTCTCATTCTCTTTTGCCCTTTTTTTGTTTATTTCTCTTTAAATTGACTTTTATTCCCCCCTTCCACCATTATTAGAAATAAAATACTGAAACAAAATTTTTCCTACCTTAGGTTCTTAGTTCATTCTTTTTTAACTTATTATAATTGTATCCATTTGTATTGAAGAAAACGGATTTATCACATAGCCTCAATTTTTATTTATTTATTTGTTTGTTTGTTTGTTTTTGTTTTTAACATTTTATTAGGGGCTCATACAACTGTTATCCCAATCCATACACACATCAATTGTGTAAAGCGCATTTGTACATCGTTTCTCAAAACATTTTCCCTCCATTTAAACCCCTGACATTAGGTCCTCATTTTTCCCCTCCCTCCCCGCTCCCCCCTCCCGCGCCTCAATTTTTAAATCAAGTAACAATACATTTATATTTTGCCTTTTCCCCTATATATTTAAATGCTAAAGCTTAATTATAACCTTTTTCTGAGTGTGACCACAATAAGGAAAAGCTCTCTTCTGATAGTATGGCATAGTAAAGACGATTTGATTAGCATGAATGCAAGAGAATCACTTTGAGAGCACAACTTTGCTGCTAACCACTTTCGTCACTGCTGCACTGTGTCAGACATGGTAAATAATGAGAGACTTGCTTTCTAGTGTCTTTCAGAAGAAGCTTTCCGTAAGGGAGGGTACTGAAAGGTATTCCTGGAAACCACATCTAAAGTTGTGTTTTCTTGTAGGAACTACTTTATGTTAGAAGAACATGTCCTTAGTGAAGAACAAATTTTCATTTAGAATCATTTTGTGATTTTTTTTTCTAAGAAAGGTTGCACCAAAGAGCTTCAAGTTCATGGGAAATGAAATTAAAATGACTTTTCTTTTTCCATGAGCTTTTTTGAAGCCCTGTATGTAGAACCTATATGGCTCCCTGGTGGTGTACTGGTTACGCATTGTGCTGCAGTCAGCAAGGTCAGCCGTTCAAATCCACGAACTTCTCCAAGAGAAAAAAGTGAAGCTTTCTACTCGGAATTATAGACTCGGAAGCTCACAGAGGCAGTTTTCCCTGTCCCATAGGGTCACTGTAAGTTGCCATCAACTCGATTGCAGTGAACTTGGATTTTGGTTTTGTAGAACCTGTACATTTGAACATATCAGAACAATACTATAGTTAGAAGTTCTGAAGAATAGCAGTCTCTCAAAACTAGTGTTGTTGTTTTTAAGTCCAACCCCCCACCCATTTTCATTTCTACTTACTCAAAGCTTGCCTTCAAAGGAAAAGAGACAGGCAAGATGTAGTAGCAATAAGGGAGAGCAGTGATATCTTTGTTGTGACTTTGATAATATATATCAAATATGAATGGTTATCCAAAGAACATCTGGACAATGGAAAAATGAAGATGGTGGAGGGTATAGATAACTGGTTATATGTGGCCAGATGAAGTGGAGAAATAAAACATTAAGGGCGTTTGTGTCTGTTGGCTGCTATTTTTTTCTGAGACATTTGATGTAAGATTGTTATCTGAGTGACAACTTGAGGAGTGTGGTAGAAGTATGGAATAATTAGAAAGAAGAAAGGCATAGGGAATGAAAGATTGCTGGTTAGCTTTGAGGATCCAATCAATTTGAGACTGAATTCTTACGGGGTAGCTTAGCCATGTACCTGTATTAGAGATTGATTGGTGAATAATTTGAGTATACTGTTTTATTAGCAAATAAATTACGCATAGAATTTATTTAAAACATATATATATCTCTGATCCCCTTTGGGGACTAAGATTGATGGGAACATCCTTTAATAGAATATATGTTGTTGTTAGGCGCCATCAAGTAGATTTTGACTCATAGTGACCCTGTGCACTACAGAAGGAAATGCTGCCTGGGCCTGCCCCATCCTCACACCCATTCTGTGGGAGCCTATTGCTGCACCAACTGTGTCAGCCCATCTGAGGGTTTTCATCTTTCACTGACCCTCAAGCCTGATGCCCTTCTCTGGGGTTTGGTCTCTCCTGGTAACGAAGTCCTGAAACAAAGTCTCACCATCCTTGTTGCTAAGGAGCATTCTGGCTGTACTTCTTCCAATAGAATCTCGGAGTTTAAAATACTTCTATCATTGTCTTACAAAAGAATTGCCCTGCTAAATCATGTAACAGTCATCCAATTTATTAGTTTATAGAAGTGTTGCTTTAGTGAAATAGCAGATCACTAGCAAAAGCATCTTGGATGTTTTTGTTTTTTTGCTTTCCTTATACCCAGGGGATTTTTCTGAAAAAATCCATGCTATCTTGTTGGTTAGCATGATTATGCCAACAAGTTGCTCAGTAACAGTTTGGCTCAATGGGGAGAAGCCATGCAATAACACTGCATTCGTTGCATAAGTACGAGGGAGTGTACGGGGAAGACTGAAGAAAGAGTGGGTAACTTTGTAAAACTAGCATTGTGTGAAACTAAACATTGTTTGTTTTCTTTGAGTTAGAAAAATAGCTGAGAAAAATACGTCTTGGACCTAATTGGAGGAAGTTTTTAATGTCTCATTTGGAAAAGGAATATCTTTTAGACATTTAGAATATCAGTTTGAAATAATTTTCTGGGCTTTCATTTTATTTTTCAATTCAGATGTTTTGTATAATTGCTAAATCATATGAATTGTGTTGATTTGAAATTTGGTTCTGATTTAAGCTGCAGCCCTTTAAAGAAAAAGAATAGAAATCATATGCCAGGCCTAGAAAGGAAGTAATCATTTGCGTTAGAGATAAACAAGTACACTAATTAAATTTAGCATCTTTTCAAATAATCAACTCTACCTCTATGAAAGAAAGAGTTAAAAAACCCTCTTTCCCACTGCCCATCCCCCTGGTGACATGGGGGTTAGGAGTTGGACTGCTAATCCAAAGGTCTGCCATGCAAAATCGCCAGCACCTTAGAGGGAGAAAGAGGAGGCCTTCTGTCCTGGAAAGATCTCCAGCTTTGGAAACCCACAGAGGCACTTTTGCTCTCCTGTTTGAGTCACCATGAGTCAAAATCAACTTGACAGTCCTCTCCACACATTCCCTGTTTTCATCCCCTTAAGAAATAGAGGATGGATTCTATATTCTTTTCTTAACTGTGGATCTTCACACAGATATGTTTGGCCTTGCACAATATTTACTTCCAGGACAAAGAATGGGTTACCTCTTTTTCATTTCTTTGTTTTTAAAACCCTTTGGTGAAAATAAAGAAAGTTTGAAATGTTTTGGTGAGGATGGAAAAGAGGGTTTGATCATTCAGAAAGAAGTTCATAGTAAAAATGTGGCCAACACATGTAGTTGGTAACATGATCATGGCATGGTCAATATGAACGGTAATTTCTCAAGTCTGAAAATTTAGGTAAATGAGTAGGAGGGGGTAGCCCCCCAAAACGGGAATTGTGCTTGGCTGAGCCAAGCTTTCGTAGTATGCGATTTTCCTGCGAGGCCAGCATCTAGCAACTGACTGAGTTAGTGCACTCGATGGCATCACCTGGGAAGGCTCTCTCTGGTCACAGTGAATTCTTTCGTAAAAGCCGTTTCACTTGAACCACATTTTTTATGATGGCTGATTTAAGAGAATAGTATGTGGCTGTGAAATTTTATTTCCTGCGCCGGAAAAATGCCTCAGAAGCTGTTACGATGTTGAACACACCATACAAGGACAGTGCGATGGGAAAAACTCAAGTAGATGAGTGGTTCTCTCGTTTCAAAAAAGGTGAAATGTCGACTGATGACAAAACTCGTTTTGGACATTCATCCACTTCCTGAACAGATGAAAATGTCTACTTGCCATGCATTTGGAGCTCTCTTCATCAGGTCAAACTGTTAATCGAGCTTTTAAAAAGATTGATTAACAGTGCGCAACAAAAAGGCCTGATTTGTGGCAGATGGGGGGACTGGTTTTGCTACCATAACATTGCATCTGCTCACACAGTCATGTCATTATACCAGTTTTTGGCAAGAAACAGCATACCTGCCTCTCTTGCCCCACACGCCTTACTCACCTGACCTCGCTCCGTGTGACTTCTTTTTGTTTCCACGAATGAAGAGGAACATGAAAAGACAGCAATTTGATGGCATAGAAAAGGTGAAGACAAAACAAGGAGAGGTGATGTCAACCATCCAAACAAATGAGTTTGAAAAATGTTTGCAAGAAT